TATTGACTTATGATGGGGAAAATTTGTTCCTGTCAAGCATAAATAAGCTAGGTATGTGTGACATTTTAACCCTTTAACTCCCAAGATCTGATTGGTAACTCCTCTCTAGCTGCTACATATTTCCCTGTAACTTAGTTTTGAGAATCTGGTGTGATATCAAGACAAAGACCTATACCTGATAAGTTTGAGAATTCTCATTATCTCTTTGCTGGATAAGTTCAAGATATTTTAGGGAGAAGTTACTTGTTAATCACTCCTGGGAGTTAAAGGGTTAATTACAAATAGGCAGTAGCTTTAAGAATGTGTACCAGTGAATTTAAAATAAAAGAAACTTGAAACATATATTGTTTAGTGTGATATGTGACCTGGTGGGTGGCAGTTTAGTAATGAAACAACAAAACATTAATATTTCACTGATTTCACAAATTTGATTCAAAACTAAAATAAGCAACAAATTTTGAGCAGATTAATTTGCATTAAATGGTACTTTGACAACATTAAATGTTTGAGCTCTGTTTACTTCAATTAAACAGTACTTAAACATACAGGAATGTTTTGGACACATTTAATGTGCACTTAAACCTACATTAAGTTTTAGCCTTAAGATAGTATAAGCCAGGTTTAAGTCCAACTTAAATCTAGGTATAAGTGACTTAAACATCAACTTAAACTTATTAAACCTGAGTTTAAGACAGGATTAATCCATGTTTAATGACACCTAAATATATCTTTTCTCCATGTGTTATTCAGTATTAGCCCTTCGTCAGAGCCATCGGAGGAATTGTGGGTTGTGTGTGGGTTTATACGCGGAAAGTGGAGCTGCGCCATTGTCGTTCAAGCGGGCCACCACCGTGCCCAACAAATTGATCAACAGTCAGCATTACAAACAGCTGAGAAGGAAAACACTGACTGCATTCCATTCACTCTTACATTTCACCCTCACAACCACGCAGTTTAATCTATCATTCTTAAAAATTTTAAATTTCTCCAAAACGATTCAGAGACTGGCACTATCTTTTCGCAACCCCCACTTATTTCATTCCAACGTGACAAAAACATAGGCAACTTTTTAGTCAGGAGTTCATTTCTAACCAATGACCAATCTGGAACTTTTAAATGAGCTCGCTCACGATGCAAAACTTGTCCTTAGCTTTCATTCATAACGTAGAGAGATCCATTAAGATCACTGATCACTTTACGTGTACCTCCGCCAATGTTATTTACTGCATAACTTGCACTTATTACAATAAGTTATACATCGGCGAAACAGGAAGACGACTAGGTGACCGATTCCGAGAACACCTTCGCGACGTGGAAAGAAATGACAAGGACGCATCCAAACCAGTCGCTAGACACTTTAATCTTCCTAATCATTCTAAACAGCATATGGCAGTTTGCGGCCTTTCCTTACATCTAGGCAGTTCGGAAAGCCGTAAAACACTAGAACAAAAATCTATTTTCCTAATCGGCACCCTTAATCCCCACGGAATCAACGAGCGCTTTTCATTCAACTAATTTATTCCTGTTTTCTCGTCACCATTTTCCCACCAATAGCGTAGCTCCACTTTCTGCATATAAACCCACACACAACCCACAATTCCTCCAATCGCTCTGACGAAGGGCTGACGCTCGAAACGTCAGTTTTTTTACCCTTTAGTTGGCTAATTTACGTTTTCAACTCAGTTGTTAACACTAAATTACCTGCTATACTCTCCTACCGACGCAGCACCACAGTTTCTTTAGAAACTTACCCCTTTATCGTTATTCAGTTTGTTGTCTTTTCATCGTTTCTTTGTGGCATTTCGTGTAGTCCCTTTATCAAAACCGTCAGGTACGTTTTGCGTTGTCTTTTGCCGTTTGATGTTTAGCTTTGTAATCGTAGTTATTGTTTTCGGTAGTTGGTTGAAGTGTGATTTAGTTATTCATGTTTTTGAAACTACTGGTTTAGAATAAATTGTATGGTATGAGTAACTGTCTGGAAATTTACCAGTGCGTTCGCTACACTTGGTCTCCCCATGACCCCTACTCCCCTGCATCCCTCCACTTAACATTCCCTCTCGTAACCAGAGTTAATCTGAGGCGCCCCTCGGACTTAAGCCTTACCTTTGCCAACACCGTAGCTATAATACACAACAAAACTAGTTGTTGTTTCCACTTCGTGTTCGTGCAGTAGCTTCTCGGCTGATTCTATATCGGGCACAAAACTTAGAGTCTCAGAGATGTTTTTAGATGACATGGTTCGAAGATTCACAAAGAAGCTGATATCAAGATAAAGAGAATCTTGAGGAAAATTTCCCCCTAAAAAATTGATTCGATTTGATTTTCCCGCACTTTTTGCTATATACTGACTTAGTTTGCGCGTCTGGATTGCGCAAGTATTTTGCACGCGATCCGCTTGACCTCCGTTTCCGGCCCCAGGAATATGGGTACTCTCGTGCATCCCCACAGGGAATAGATTAGCGGAACCCTATCTTGATTATATTTAGCAGCCACTGGAAAAAAAAATCCACGGGTGATAAACAAGAAAGAGGAGATGGAAACTGTCTGTTACAAGTTATTTTTCACTTGCGTGACTTTCATTCAGCTTCACACACGCGCGTGATCGACATCGCTGCCATTGACAGTCACGCTCTTTCGACACATTGACAAGTTTCACGTATAGTTTACTCAGAATGGAAAGTTTCTTCGAAAGAAAAGTTTCTGCAATTCATGCAGATATCCCGAGTCGTGACACTCGGTCCCAGTCTTAAAACTAAGGAGAGCCTTCTCGTCCTTTCCTTCAACGGACTTCCGTAGGATTCAGGCAACCTTCCTCATTGAAGCATCAGCAAAGGACTGATAAGATGGTGTCTTTCCGTGATCATGAAAGTTACTTACTCTTTCTTCTGCTGGTAAAGTTTCATGGGTCAGGTAAGTGTGAAATTTATTCTCTTGCACAAAGGATTTTACCATTTCCCATTTAAGCTGAGACATCGCAAACGCTGACACTTCATTTCTGAACGTGGTGTTCGTCGAAATGATTTCCGAACTCCAAGGTGACTTTCAACAGTTTTTTTATTTCGAAATTTAGATATGATGTTAGGATTACAATCATGTGATAAGTGAAGTCTGAATAACTGCGATGCGATAGAAATCAAGAGCAAAGGATTTTATGTGTCAAGTGTAACAATACCACACGTTCCGAATTTTACATCAACATTGAAACTTAGAAGTGCACTATTTTCTTGATTAATGTGAGTCGTATTCTTAGCCATGAGAAAAGTTGCTGCTTTGCAGGTGGCTTTACATTACAAACATAATGGCTATGCAAACCCAGAAAGAGTTGGCATCTGTACATAAGCACTCTTCTAGTTGCCATCCATCACTCATTATTGGGAAGAGCTGTTAACAATTTTTCACTCATTGCTGGTTCAAATAATGACCTCAGCGAGGATAACTGCTGTTCGCTATACTGAATGTGACTTCTTCATTCAGAAACTAATTTAAGAAACTACATGCACACTTGGATGGATAATTGAGCTCATACCTACATGTATGATTTCTCTACTTGACCAGTTTTTAGCGGAGCTCGCAGACTAATAGCTAACCACAAGTGAGCTTGGCAATCAATTTATACAAAAACACCTAACATTCATTATATGATGATTTTAGTGGTGTGCATACTCTAATTGGTCATGTATTGCATCATATCTCAATATAATCATAGTATGCAGGCTGATTATAGCAAGAGCGCTAAATTTGGAAATGGCTGCCTTGCGTTTTGTCAAATGTTTGCCATAAAGTGATCGAGGTAATGGAGGAAAATTATATTGCAAAGAGCATGAAAGGTGCTATAAGATTAGCAGAGCACTTTTCAAAACAAAGGGATGAAGTTTTTGCTGATTCAATTGAAAAACCTCTTAAAACTGCTTGCTCATCTTGATGCAGGTAATCAACACGTTGTAAAAAAATGTGTGCATGCTTTCTTTATTCATAGAATTTACAACAGAATTCAAAAGCTTATGAGTGATCAAATTAAAACACTTATTTGCTGAAGGAAAAGGGGAGATTGATGAATAATATTTACTTTGCCTTTAGCAAATATTTTGGTAATTTTAATTCACTATTATGTCATTTTCCTACATTATAGGGCAATGGAACACGCAAAATATACCTTGGTTATACTCTGTAGAACAGGGCAGGAATATGAACAGAAATGATGCATATGATCTTTGATTTCATTTCCAATTTTTAAACATGAATTTTTCAGGGGTGAAAGCCCACCAGAATTTTGTTCTGATCTTCAAAAAACTTAAATGGTTACTTTTCTTGTTGTTTTCTTCTTTCATGCACATCTTATGTGATGGGTAGGATGCTCAGATAAGAACATAAAAATTTTCAAAAACTAGAGGCCAAAAGACTAGAAAATGAAATGAATGGGATAATAAATCATTCGTTCAATGGTATAACATAATATATGTGTGGACTTATCCACTTTCCATTTTCCACCTTGACAAGTTCTTCAAAAAATTTCTTCAAGTGTGCCACTTTGAAATTTTGGCAATTCACCACTGTAGGTACTCATTTTGGAAATTAAAGAAAGTGGAACTTGTCAGAAATGATTTTCATAAGGTGCAAATAGTTATGTATTACTGTTGTTGAACCTAATTTCTAAGCAAATGAAAGTATATTTCAGGCTGATTTATATCAGTGAATACCAACAAAGTGCATATTTACACTTATTGTTGTGGCTGCTTACACTAAAAGTGCCTTTGTAGTGAACTCTTTTTAAGCCCCTCCTCCTTGATATTATCTTTACATTTGTAACTAAAGGGCTGAGAATATTATGTTTATGGTTGTCTATTTTAGGGGGTGTGGGTGTGAATTTCACCCAGGAACCTTCTAATCCAAGTTACTTTAGCAATGGTAGTGATGCCAACCTGGTGTGGGACTATGCTGATCCACAGAATAACATTCAGCACATTATCTATAGTGTTCTGCTACATGGTAAATTTGTCAGAATGATGGTTAATAGCAGTCATGGTGTCCAAGAACATCCTAACATTCCTCCATCTTACAAAGGAAGAGTTAAAATTGAAGGAAGAGCTACCCTGGTTATCAAGAACGTCAACCCTGGAGACAATACCAAATTTAAATGTGAAATGACGGGAAGCTTTTTGCACACAGTAGAAAGTATAGTGCAGCTTATTGTGGACGGTATGTATTACAGACTTAAACATTGATCTACACACATAAATTAATTCATTCCACTTATGTCTCATATTTCTGAGATCTGTAGAAGGTAGCCATTAGCATAACTTTGCACAAACCCTCATATGCAGGGCTAAAGGTGGCTAGCACTATGAAATCAAAACCCATGAAAATCTTGTGAAATAATTCATGGTAAATTCATAGATTTTCCACAGAATTTCATCGTTAAATCTATAGCATTTCCAAGGTCTCAGTGCCATGTAAAAGACATAAAAAATCCCATGAAAACCTGTGAAAATTTTAATATTCCTGACCCATGAAATATTGTTTAAGGTGACCTTAGGAAGCCATGAAATATTTACACTTATTGTTGTTACTGCTTGCACTAAAAGTGCCTTTATGGTGAATTCTATTTAAGCCCTTCCTCCTAAATATTATCTTTACATTTATAACTAAAGGGCTGAGAATATTATGTTTATGGTTGTCTATTTTAGTGGGTGTGCATTTTACCCGTGAACCTTATAATCCGATCTACTTTAACAATGGTAGTGTTGCCAACCTGGTGTGGGACTACGCTGATCCACATAATAATGTTCAGAGCACTCTATATAGTGTTCAGGTGGCTGGTGCATTTGTCAAAATGATGGTTAATGACAGTCATGGTGTCCAAGAACATCCTGATATTCCTCCATCTTACAAAGGAAGAGTGAAAATTGAAGGAAGTGCTACCCTGGTTATCAAGAACATCAACCCTGAAGACAATACCAGATTTAAATGTGAAGTGAGGGGAAGCTTTTTCTACTCGGTAGAAAGTACAGTGCAGCTTATTGTGGCAGGTATGTATTACAGACTTACCATTATTAATCAAACATAAATTAAATGCATTCAACTCATGTCTCTCATATTTCTGATATCTGCACAAACCTTCATATTCAGGGCTGAAAGTGGCTTGTAAGCTATCTAACCCAACTTTTGGGAGCAGTAGTGGTATTTTTACTTGGCATGGGACACCACACTCCTAAAAAGAAAAAAGAGGTTCTATTTTGCTGTTTTTCATTAGTATGAAATCAAAGAGTTATGAAACATTTATTGTTTAATTCTTCTCAGCACCTTTATTAACCGGTGCTGAGATTTTCCCTTAGCATAGCTGTCAATTAAAAGTGGCCTGTCAAAACTAGAAACAATCCAACTGGTTGCACAATTTTGCTACACATAGATCAATAAAGGAAAATATTGCATGAGCAATCAAAGACAGCTTGTGAAATTATTGATGTCAAAAAAATTGCCTTGCTTTTCACGCCTTTTAAAGTGACTTGCTTAAGGGAGTGAAAGTCGGTATTGCACCTTCTGTTGCTTTCTGTGAATTATGATCTTCAAGGTTCACAAATGTAAGTTTAGTCAAAAGAATGGTGAGTTCCTTAGGTAGTTTTCTGACACTAAGCAGCAAGTCAAGACCTTAAAGATTTGTGCAATGGAACAAAATTTTCTTAAAATTATGGAAGTAATAAACAAAGGAAATCTATAATCCATGCAAACAGAAAATAATTTAATGATGATCAATGTGGCCAGGTAGGAATACTGTTCTTAGCAGATGCTGTTATATTCATGGAGGTCAGTTAAACAGCTCTAATTTTATTGCTGACTTTGGTTGTTCCACTAAGAAACTGAATGAATTCCACAATGAACTCTTAGAGACTTCAAGTATTCAATTTCAATTCAGAGTATGAAGCGTTTTGTGAGCTTATGTAACCTAAACTTTTCAAAAGCAGAAGCCTAATGTTCTTTAAACAGACTTTTTAATCTTCTCTCTGGGAGTTTTTCCATTCATTTTCAGTATCTGGGATGTCCTAACAACATCAAGTACTTAAAAACAAGAGTGATATTCAGTATGTAACTTCTCGGTCACTTGACTGAGACTCAAAGTTGAAAACATCTGTGATATCTCAATACTCATATAATTTTACATAGGTATATATATACTCATGTATATAGCTTGCAAATTTTACAGATAATTCTTCTGTACCCTCTCAATCAAGATAGACCTAATGGAATCCTTGAATGAAAAGCACCTTAAATATGTTAAAGAATACTTGAATTTCAATAAATTGACTATTTAAGTCTTAAAGGTGACTTCTTGATCCTTAAAAGCACTGTGAATAACAGCGGTAAAATGGATATCAAACCTTCTGAATGAAGTGAAGCTTGTGACATCTGGTTAAATCCACTCCCTGATATATATCATTTGCTAGTGTTGATATACCTGCAAAGTAATGTCTAACATTTTATTTCAAAAATTAAAAGCAAATATGGAAAAAGGAAAATTTGCAAATATTGAATTTGTGATAGTGGAGGCTTTTTGCACATCAAAGAGAACCTAAAGGCCTCTTTTGACCAGTTTGATAGCTATTCATTCACTAGTTTTTTCCTGTTTGCTAGCCCCATATCCAAGATGTGAATTTAAGCCGCTTTTTGCTCTTAAGTATTTCCCATCCAATATTTAGGCACTGTTTGTTTTGCATTTTCACCAAGACCAAGACTGGACCATGTTGTGTGAAAATTAAATTGTTTGTTTGTTTGTTTGCTAGAAAGTACCTCTGTTTGCCTCATGTTGGATATGGCCCTGACTGGTTTCACTTTAGTTTTAAGGACCAACTCAAATCATCTCACAATAAGTTTTGGAGACACTAATTCAAGATTGTATTGAAATGTAACTCTCCTCTTTAGGGATATAACATATGTTCGTAGAACTCTGATGGAATGACGCTGCTCCATTGTAAATATAATGCCAACGACAGATTGAGGATGTGTTTCATTTGCTTAATGATAACCTCTCTGCTGGGAAGGAGCAAAACGTTTAATAATCTTTAGTTTTAGCTCAAATTGTTAACAGTGGTGTCCATATAGTCCATTCTTAATGCAGGGGGATAATTTGTTTTCTTTGCGTTTGACTTGGGTTAAGAACATCTTATTCCTGCGTATAATTCTTCAAAATGCTGAGAAAAATTTCGAAACTCTCCCCTCTGCAAACTCCCTTTGCAGAACAATCATACTGAACGATTGAGTTACTTAATGTTTGATAAAAGAACAATCAGTACAAGAAGACGATTACTTTAAGTAATGGGCAAGTAGCATTCAGCATGCCACCTGGATATTCTTTTTATCTGGAAGAATCCGTAGTTTCTCTTTCATCAAAATTTCAGTTCTCTGGGTTGAGGATGTCTTCTGTAGATTCTTTGTCAGGCTAAAGTCCAAGTGAAGTGTGGCTTGATTGGCTCTATTCCAACTTGCTTATGCAACAGCAAAAAAAATTTATTAAAAATAATAGGAGTGGCCCAGGGGTACTTAGCCCAATGAGTGACTTCCTAAATTAGCCTTTAATTCCCGACGCTGGGGCTCTGCTTTACAATTCAGCTTGTGAGCAAGTTCTTCAGTAGCAAGCGCCAATAGGTTAACTTGTACTGAGTGAAGTTTGGGGATCAATTGCTGGATGCTTTTGTTTACTTTATTGAAATTGAGTAAAACTTTAAGACTCGGGTTAAGTAATATTTGCTACGCCATGAGGAATGATATAATCTCTTTTACCTTTCAGAGGCACCGATTATAAACCTTTCTTTAGGAGGAAAATATTACATTGAAGGATCCTCTGTCACCATGGCCTGTGAAGCTTCGGGGAAACCACCGCCGGATGTAGCATGGATTAGAAATGGAGTACTGGAAAGTTCAGGAAAGAAATCTGCCTTCTTAAAGTTCGATAGTATAAACAGAATGGATGCAGGACAATATACTTGTCGAGCCAATAACTCAGTGGAAGTCCCTTCCATTTACACAACAATTGTAGTCCACTGTAAGTATGTTTTAACCTTAATTTTCTATTTCTGAATTTACTTTATTTACAATGTTAATCCTGTTATTGGGGTCAGTTACACAAAACTGACGAATCTGGTCAAAAGTGTAATGGAAACAGAATTTCACCTCAAATTCTTTTCCGCTTTGTATGCATTGGTCCCAACTATTGGTTAGGACAATTGAATCTAGGTGGAATCATTGCTCACATTATTTTGCTTTGGATGACAAGTTTTCTAAGCAAGTCATTGCTTCAGTTGAACTGGGTTTACATGTAACTCAAAAAATGGCTCAAAGCCATTTCCGAGTAATTGTGACAACCCAAAATTCACTCCGTTTGACTAGGACACAAGGCTAGTGCATATTCTGATTCTGTGTGAGGGCTGTGGTTGAGGCTTAATGGAAAGCTGAGAATTGTTCAAAATTCTGATTGTCCACTGATAAATTACATTTTTTTTTTGATATAGCTAAGATCAGCTGATAGATGTCAAAATGGGCTGAAACTAAAACCTCATGCCCAAGATTTGCACACATATTTGTATGTGTGGCGTTCGAAGAGATTTATCATTTGACGGTTAGAATCCATTATATATTTCATTATTCGTAAGCCTTGCCACCTTACACTGAAACCTCGACTGCCAAATAACACAAAATAGATGGACTCGCTTTTTTTTTCAGTTAAAGACAGGGAAAGGAAAAACAAATGTTACGGAGCGGTGATTGATTTCCATAACTTTCTGGTTTGAGAGGTACTTAATTGTCTCAGTGTTCGCAGATGCTCAGGCATTCGACCTCTTTTGTCAGAGGCCGGTAAAAAGCAAGCATGAACAGTATGCTAATCTCTAGATTTTGAAGTCACTCGTTATAAAGGAAATTACACCGTACAAACTTTCTTGGAGTGTACCACACATATAAAACATGACCCGTTACAACTGAAAGTACAGTACAAAGCCAGTTTAGTGGGGTCTACATCTTACCCCTTCATCATTTTATTATTTAATTTTAGTGGCTTTCAGCCGATTTTATGCATTCATGGTCTATTTATAATTTGGAAAGCTATCAGTTCTCATCGGATAAAAAAAAATGACAACTGAGCAAGAAAACAAACAAAAACGAAGTAAATGTCCAGAAATGGCATATTGCCTAAGCCAACGAGATTGCAGTATTAGGGTTTGTTACTCTGATCACATTTTGGCATTAGGGTTTCACTTGTGCAAGTACAAATCTATTTTTGCCGGCGTTCTGTGACAATATTTTTAACATGCCATATTCAATATCTGCTTCTTTAAAAGTGAAATTGAGTTTAAACGGTAATTTCCCTTACCGCCTCTTGATTATTGCAGAGAAATATCTATTGATAAAACATATTGTTATGAATACTTGGAATTTATAACAGTATGCAAACAGTTTTAGAGACCGGTGAAACTGTTTGCCAAGACAGTAATCTGCTTGTTGACACTTCATCGTTGGATATAACTTAATTATACTATTTTTGATACAAGTACAAGCACAGTGTTGTGCAAAAGTAATGGAAACAGTATGTCATAAAGAGCTGCCACCCTGTATTTATTGGTCAGTTGCCAAAGTCCCCAATTTTTTCTCCTTGTATAATCATTGTAATTTTAACTTCTTTTTGTGGTCACCTCTATTAAGTGGTCTTGGTCACCTTTGATTGAGTGACAACAGCCTGTTGGTATTGTCTTCCACTTGTAATGAACGGTCACATAAAAAGGAAACACTCAATTAAAACGAAAAATTATTTTTGAGTAAAATGTAATCCATGTTTCTCTCCCAAATTTAATTTTAATAGTATTTTTAACAAGTTTTTGTGCATAAAGTGATCAATTGTGACATAAAATGGCATTTTTTATTGTTTTGAATATTACTCTTATTCTGTGGAACCCCATCTCCTGAGGATGACCACTCAATACAGGTTTGACTGTACATAAATGCATCTTTTTTCAAAATGTTGCAATTGAAAAAAAATTCTAAGAAATAATTGCACTTTTTGTTCCAATAAAAAAGTGATGACAGAATAAATTATGAGGACAAAGGATCAGCAGAATAAGTCCTTGTCAAGTCCTTGTTTCACTTTCGCACTCTAAAGAAAAAGTAGTGTTCTTTTGATGTGAAATATACATGCATCATGCATCAGCTCTTTTATAAGAAGAGAAAAACTGTGCATATTCTCAAAACTGCAACGTTTTAGAAAACAGGTGTATTAATATGCATAGATGTATAAATTTCACCCAAACATACCCCAAAAAAACAACATACCCAAAGTCAATATTCAAGAAAAAACCCTTTCAAAATTGAAAATTTCCTCAACCTCAGCCACTACTAGTCTAATTATCACAACCCAATCACATAACCAATTCTCTCAAATCTTATGATTTTTTGATGGTGTGTACTTTTTCTTATGGCCAGCTTTTCTTAGTGTCTATCTTTTACAAGCTGACATCTGAGAAGAATCACTGCTTATTCTCAGATGTCTTGAAGACCACACTGGCAATTTGCCACATTGTAGGCAAATCCTACGACTGATTAAATTTAATTTGATCAAAAACACCAATGGCATTGGATGAAATTAGCCTCCCCAGTATTCAGTTTTATACATGCAGAGTATTGCTTGAATATATCACTGCAGTAAGTGCAATTGCCTGGTAAACAATATGCTATTCTTCCACTTAGGAGGAAGCTTCGTGTACACAAAATTTGAAGTTCAGGGCTTTCGGTAGCTTAGTCGGCTACTAAGATCCACCGAGTACAATAGCTGTACCAAACATAATTTTTAAATACACCTCTATAATAATAGATGTACACAACTGACATGTATGAGTGAAGCATGTCAAGCATTAAGCCAGTCAAGTGTTCTTATGTAGAATAAAGTTTCAAAATTATTGAAATAAAATTAACCTCTTAATAATAAATGTGTAATATCTCTTTAAAAGATTAAAAAAGCCACGTCATTTATGAATTTTCAAACAATAAATGCCAAAAAAACTTAAAGATGGAATTTAAAAAAATGCGAAAATATGACCCATCTTTTGACTGAGATTTTAATCGTTGACCGACACGCAGAGGCCAAAGCAATAAAAAATTGCAGACTCGAGAGAGAATCATACGAAATCACTGACACCTGCTCACCTGGCTTCAATTTCTGGAGAGTAAATTCTGCGACACTTCAGTCTTATCTTCTCACCCATGAATTAAAACATAAATTTAATTATTTGCAAGCAGTTTAGGGGTAAAATTAAATGTTAAATTTTACATGAAAAGAAACACATTACAGTAAAATAAAGCAGAAGTATATTACCTTCATGTTTAGGCTTCTGAATAAAGCTACAATAGGAATTAGACATGCAATTGTTTGCCCATGTAAACTGGGTGCAATAGACGGCCGTAGAGGAAATTTTACGTAAACGACATTACATCCTTTAAGTTGACATGTACTAAATCCCGAAACAGCGAAACGAAATGACTGAAATGGAACAAACGAAACGAACAAAACGAAACTAAACAAGCGAAATCACCGAAACGACAAAAACGAAACGAACTCAACGACCATACTGAAACGACCGAAACGACCACAACGAAATGGCAGAAACTATCAAAATAATATACTACTTGAAGGATGCAATATATTTCTGTTTTATTTTATTTCGGAAGAGGTCCCATTTTCAGTGAGATAAAAAACCATTTCCTGTATTTTGAACGAATCGAGTAGAAAGCATAAAAATATATCGATGAAAAAAATTACCATGTCCAAAGAATGCAGCTCACTCTTTATACAGTAGAACTAGATCCATGAAACCCGCGAGTTTGTTTGCATCACCCTTTAGCGGTTCATAATTTCTTAGAAGTTTGACGGGTCCTCACATGATGATATAGTCAGAATCAAGTTACTGCGTCAGACTACTATATGAATAACAAGTAAACCTTGCTATAGTTAACTAAAGAGCAAATGATAGAAGCTTGCTTACACCGCTCGCTACTATTTGAAAACTTTCTGGGCAAAAATGCTTGTCCAGATTCCATAAAGAAGTAATCCGAAAGTTAAGTTTGCCTTTACACCACGACTGAATTAAACATTCCAATCGAAATAATTTGGAGAATTAAAACAGTCTGACATGTTGTTTAAGCAATGAACGGCTGGAAGGTTCACATCTACTTCTACTTTTATTAATTTGGTAAAATCTGTACAGGCATCACACCAACCAACCCGCGTGCAAAGTGAGAAGACTATATGAAGGCTTAAAATTATATTAAGAACGATTTTGATCAAGAAACGGGCCAGTAATATTCCACAATAGTGCAAATAATCGTGAAAGCTGATCGTGGAAAAGCGATTGCGTGACGCTCGGTAAGTTGTAAGATGACATGTTATCACAAACCAGACGAAAAAACCCTTTAAATTCTCAGTCTGCCTTTTGTGCCCACTCTGCAGTCTACCTTTTTTACCTAGTCTATATTTTGTATCCGGTCTGTACTTTGTATTTTGCAGTCTGCAGTCTACATTTTGTACTAACAGGTATCCGTGGCATCGATACTGTTTATTTTTAGTTACAGTTATTCGCACAACACACACAATCGATCACAAAATACCTGTGTGTGTGTGTTAATTCGACGTTTTCGTTCTTTTTCGCATTAATATTCTTTCCTTTCGTAAAAATGTAGACATCACTTAAAATGTTTCAATTTATCCACCCACCCAAAAAAACAACTCTTGCATGCGTAGCATGCCTATGTTTTTATAAGTATAGGCTACGCATCCCTATTGAATTAGCGAAAGTCCCATTGATCAGTTCAATTATAAAAAACGTTCGGTCTGTCCGATGTATTCGTTGTCACAGTCATTGCAAGGAATAGAATAAATGGCGTCGGTTAGTTGTTCTTTCGTGACAGGATCCTTAGGTTTGGCGAAAATATGGCCCAAAGTCTGAAAGGGTTTTTGAGCAACTTTAACGTTGTGGCTATTCAAAATTCTCTTGATGGGTTCCATAACACCCTGTATGTAAGGAATAACAGCAAAACCAGTCGCTGGTTCCCTTTCATCAAGAGCGTTACTATTTGTACCTGGTTTTTGGCAGTTACGGAGAAAAGTTTTTGTATAGCCATTTGCCTTTAGGACATTGGAAACATATTTCTCCTCAGCCTTCGAATCGAGTGAAGATGGTAGACAGTCAGCCCTCCTAGGTAAAGTTTTGGCTGCAGACTTTTTATGGCAAATAGGGTGGTAAGAATCGAAAGCGAGGTATTTGTCGGTGTGGGTAGGTTTACGGTAGACACTTGTCTCTAAATTACCCTGAACCCCTCTGGACACATTTAAATCAAGAAAGGGCAAATGTCTATCCCTTTCGCGCTTAAAGGTGAATTGGATCGACGGCTCTACTGAATTCAAATGCGACAAGAGGCGCTCCCCTTCATTTCCGGATACCGCAGAAATAACATCATCGACATATTGTTTCCAGAAAAAGGGTTTAACCAGTGAAGTGGCTAAGGCCCTTTGTTTCACGTCTTCCATTACCATGTTAGCAGTGACAGCAGAGACGGGCGAACCCATCGCTGTACCAAAAACTTGTTGATAGTAGGTGCCGTTATACGTAAATTGTGTGGTTTTGAGGCAAAAAGACAGCAGATGAATAATATCCTCCGCAGGCAAAGAAGTTCTTTGTCCCAGGGAAGCATCCTCTCTGAGTCTTTCCTCCGCAACCTTAACGGCAAGATCAACTGGGATTTTGGTGAAGAGCGAAATATCGTCGAAAGATACTAATTCTTCACAAGCGTTAAGAGTTTTATCTCTTATGAAATCCGCAAATTCGCAGGAATTTTTTGACAGTGTAATCAGTATTCCCAACAACAGGCGACAAAATTCTCGCAATATAACCAGAAATTGCATAAGTCGGAGAATTAACAAAAGAGACAATGGGTCTTAAAGGAATTCCCGGTTTATGAATTTTAGGTAAGCCATAAAAACGTGGACATAAGCCGTCTCTAATGTATAACATTTTGTACGGAGAGTCACTAATTCTACCAGCTTTTTTCAAATCAAGCCACATTTTGTTTAACTGTCTTTGAGTTTTACTGGTAGGATCAGAGTTTAAGACAGCATACGTACTCTTGTTATTAAGCAGAGACAAAGCTTTGTCGTGATATTGCTGTTTGTCCATAACCACAACACAATTACCCTTGTCAGCAGACAATACGAGCCTGTCCGGATCCTTTTTGAGAGCTATAAGCGCATTGAAAAAATCCTTTTGAATGTTTTTGGGGGGAGGTTTAGCACGCCTGAGTATGCTACTTACTTCTGCTCTTACCAAATGCCTACGATCGTCGTTGAGTAGAGAGATACTCTCCTCAACAGCGGCGACAATTTCGGCAGTCGGTATTTTGCGAGGAGCAATAGCAAACTTCAGACCCTTCTCTAAACCACCCCGTTCCAGAGCGGATATCTCCTTGGAGGAAAGGTTCATGACCCATTTATCTTTCAGAGATGAGCCTGAATTAACAGGAGACCTCTTACTGAGCAAGTGACGGAGTTTTCTGTCGTGTTTCTCTCTCTGTTTGGTAAACTTCTGCAGTTCTTTCGAACTGCAGAACTCCTCGACCCAGGAAGTTTCGGAGTTGTCAATCAAAGCAGAAAGTTCACTGAGTGAACGACAGAATAACCCACGCAAACGCAGTATGGAACTGTGACATTCATCGATTCGTAGCTTAAGAAACGAAAAACCAGTACGGACCATGAGCTTGTATCCTTTAGCACTCCGTACTTAAGGACCTCTTGAGGATCTCTTGAGGACCTCTTGTTGCAGCGTTTAGATGATGAAGGCACTAGACAGTAGTGTCGAAACGTTGAGTCTATGAATTGTAACTTCTTCAGTTACATTCATTAAATCTGCAAACCAGAGTAGCATCAAACTATGTCTGATTGTCCACCTGGTTGCCATGTGAACTTTAATATATTAAAAAGTTATTTACCGGCTTGAGGCCGTGACCTACGTCTTTGTCCAGCCGGCAAAACGAAATTTATTTATAAAGAATGGCAACAAAGGAACGGATTACTCTGCGACTTACGAAAGTGTTGCCGTGCCAGTGGATAGAGATAAGGAAATACGGACCGCGCTAAGTACCCACTAGATTGCAGGATTCGTTACAGTGCCCTCTGAGAAAAAAATACACCTTATTTTAGCTAGTTGCAAAGTAATTTTTCCTAGCCCTGAAGAGGCGAGAAAAAATACGAGCAATGAGCAAAATTTTTGCTCCCATTATATGTTAAACCATCGAATAAGGGATTTTTTATTCCCTTATTATTTTCAGTTTTTAGCATTGTAAGTTTAGTATGTGAATTACATCTTACGGCCTAATCCGTAGCAATCGCATAAGGTGTACTTCAAAGACGAAAACAGCTAGGACTAAACCATTAAAGTGTTCTTTGTGTTCTTTCCTGCTTAAGAGTTCGCTTCTTTAAAAGTCAAATTTAAAAAACAAAAAAAAAAATCGAAGTTTGGATCGTCCAGTCCGACCAATATGTTGCTACGTATTTTTGCCTTGTTGTTAAGTGTAATACTGTGGCATATTTTGCTGTCAATGACACAGTACTGGAATGATAAAGCTAGTTAATGTTTTGATTTGTATGAAGTATCACCACTTACTTGTTCAATTGCTTATTGCATTTTCATTTATTCTTAGACCCGCCCACAATTCAAAATATAACCACGTCATCTAAGAAGTCTTGGACTGGCCAGACAGTGACTTTGAAGTGTCTTTCTGATGGTGTTCCTACACCAACACTCTCTTGGTACAAACCTGAAGGAAGTGAAATAAACATAGTCAGAGCCAGAGAAAACAAAGTACAAGTGCCACTCATGAGTGATCAAGATTTTGGTCATTACAAGTGCATTGCTGCCAATGGACTTACTCCATCTGATGAGGAGTTAATAAAGATAAATCAGATAAGTAAGTAACAAAGATCAGTGTATTTTGTAAAAGAAAAACTACATATAACGTCAGCATTTTATTTTGCTTTTACTCATTACCACTGTTTCTGGTGTATTAGAAGTAAAAGCTGTCGACGCCTTGCCTTTTGGTAGCATTAAACACGTTACAAAAAAACGTTGAACATCAGGTAGATTGACGACATCCTCCCATGCGAGTATTGGTGTAGTAATACAAGTATTTGCGTCCATCATTTGAGGTAATCACCAAAAAAAATTTCTCCTTGCTTTTTTTTGTTTTTTTTGTTTTTTTGTTTTTTTGTTTTTTTTTTGCTCAAAATGATCCCTTTTTTATGGCACTATGTAGAGAAACCAGGGAAAGCATCCATCAACTCATCAGAATCAGTCATTCAAGCAACTTTTATAACAATACGATGGACTGCACCAGCTGATGATGGAGGAAGTCTAATTACAGGATACCGACTGATCTTACAAAAGGGTGAAACTGAGATAGAAAAGGATAATATCACCGATCCTGGGACAACAAGTTATTCGTTTCGTGGTTTAGAGACAAATACCAACTACACGGTGAAACTGTTTTCCAGAAATTTTGTATTCGAGGGAGATCCCACTGTAAGGAGAATTAGGACTATATTCGAAGGTGAGGAATCACAAGTGATGTCGTGACTGAGCACTTTACACCAATTATTTTTTTGCTAACTTAGATTTTTCCCAGTTTTAACAATTTTATATGCTCGCCGCATTATAAGTGTTTGTCCCCTCCTTAGTGGCCAGTTTCTTTTCCTTTCTAATGGTTATTTGAGAGGTACCCACCTTTGAAGGAGCCTTATAATAAATAAACCACAGGTGAAAGTAGGTGAGATGAAAAAAAACTTAACGGTTTCCGTTTCAGACACCACGCCGACTTTTTATTTCAAATTACCTTACATTGGCCCTTTTTCTGTTGTCACGCAAAAAAGGTCTCGCCACTTTGCCGAGCTTTATTGTGATAACATAGATATAAAGTTGGCTTTTTAATCTTTTAAAATAGGTAATATGTTTGTTGTGAAAGACCCTATCCCTCGTGGGCTCCGTACGTGTGTGGTTTTCAAGTTGTAATGCCTGTTATTTCGGCTAAACCTCTCGGCATTTATCCACGCGCGTGCGTGAGCACTTGGTCTGTGATAGAACCTCTCACATTTTCAGACATTTACAAATTTCTCAACAATGTCGTGCTCTATATTCTGATGAGTGTTTTAGCATCTTAGATCACGCTTCCAAAACTATCCAACTTAAAATCAAAGAAGCTATTCACATTCAGAGAGGGCAAGCTACACTTAATTATCAACTTTGTCTTGTTAATTTGAAACTTACCTTGTAATTGCATATATTGTTCTGTTTCTATCGTTTGTTTTGTCCAATCAGCATTTTTTTATACACTGTAAATTCAACTTTGTAATTTGTATTAAGCAGAACTGAAGATGACAGAAGAACTGTCGAAACGTGTTTTTAAAAGTCATTTATTTTCTTAAACCAACTGTCCCTTTTGACGGTGAATGTACCAAGTCATGCGCGATGTCAAACTTTGAAAAACAGAAAATAGTTAGTTCCTTTCCGTAATTACGTGACACCAATGAGTGGCGAATTGCAACGTCATCTAGGTAGTAAAGTAGCAATTAAATGCCAGTAGAGATCAGCGTATCATTCCGCTTCACTTTGTAAATGCATTATTTGTTTTAGGCTACAACCAACCATCATTTCAGGCTTTTCATTATCACTTTTTGTCCTTTCAAATTATTTTGAATTCATCTCAATACTTAACTTAATTTTGCTTGCTATACACTTTCGTTTAAAAAGTATCCCCTAAAAGATCCTCGACCAAGTTACAGATTATTTAATCACTGATAATGGTTGTGACCAGGTTTCTGACAAGATGTTGAATAATTATTAGAAATTTGATGCTGTTCATGTTGTTGACATCAATCTAGGAGCCCCTGATGTTGTCGAAATAGACAAACTGCCAGGTGAAACAACAAACGATACAATTACCCTAAAGTGGAAGGAGCCAGAAAGTAATCGAAAAGTTATCACCATGTATACAGTGTACCAAAGAGTAGTGACTGATGGAAAAGTGGGACAGTGGACAGTAATAAGGAGAATCAAAGATGTTTCTGTGAGAGAATTGAAAATAGCGTTGGAGAGAGGAAAGGTGTATCAGTTTGCCATTACTGCAAGTAATGAGCTTGGTGAAAGCCTAAAACAAGAGAAAGCAAATATCCAGCAGGTCAAGACAGAAGGAAGTATGTTCAAATGAATCTCATTTTCCTCTTTCAACGGTTTGTCCTTTTCTTTACTAAGTTCTCTAGCACTCTCCGTGTCATCAACATCGAGGTTTTTACGGGTGAATTCTTCGCTTATAAAAACCTGAATCAATGAGAAAAATTTCACTTACATCGCGGTTGATATTTGTGTACCTACTGCAAGGATATAGCATATCCATTGACCGAGATCTTAGTCATCGGCTGGCACAGACAGATAGTTTTTAAGTAGTTTACTAACGCATGCTAATCTGAATCTGGAAAGAGAGCTCGGCAACACTTTAGCTTTATCTTCCCACACTTAAATTAACTGCTTTTTTCTTTCCTTTGCCACCATCACTTAGTTGATGCCTCTCTCCCACAGAAAAATGTTGACTCTCCCACACTGAAATCCGAGAACTTTTCTCTCATTTTCACCACCAAGGTACTTTATTCTTCATACCGATGAGAGCAGCTTTGCACGTAATCCCCTCTTCGCGCCATAATTTCGACACCAGTGACCCATTGTCGGCAAATTCGCTCTTGGTTAATGAATGAATTGCCAGTAATCGGATCCTTGTGTTTGCGCAAAGATTTCTGGGATCGCCACGGGGCAAATATTGCAACTGGCTAGAAGGAAATGTATGGCGGACGTTTATTCGGACGTTCAAAAAAACGATTTTGGGGAGAGGTTATCGCTTTTCGCCGCTTTTTTTTTTTTTATCAGAAATAGATTTGAGTGATGTTGACACAAGGGAAGCGTAAGTTTTTGTTTGAACAACCATGAACTATGCAATAAAATCTATAGATTGAATTTTCTCCATGCGCAAGGTTTACTTCGAAATTCAGAAATGTTAACCACAAATCGCCAAGAATTAACTTAACAAAGCCTTTTAAGTTTTTTTTTGACATCTATAAAGTCTACTTCTAGCTTTTTTCTCGGCTTGGTAATACAAAAGAGCGCTAAAACAGCTACCTCGAGGCAGCTGGAGAGTGAAAAGGTGTGTTTCAGCATTAAATATTATCGTGGTACATTAAAGTGATTAAACACTTACATAACTTCTTTTTTGTGATCAGTGAAAATGAACCAGCGTAATCGGCTAAAAAATGAAACCTTTATTCTGTGACGATTATTAGGTATAAAAAGGTCGCTAAGGAGCGATGCACAACTGAATTGATGTTCACAGTTTCGGCCGGAGTTCCCGTTATCTTGCTGTTGCTGATAAGATCCTCCAAAGAGTTCGAGGACACAAGTTGCAGCTAAAAAACCTTTGGATTTTTCTCCAACAATCTACCACTTGACCTAGGGATTTCTACTTGATTTTCATCGCTTATTTCATCCTTTCAGAGAGGAACGAATTCTCACCTTTAATGAGGCAGTACATACATAAATACAACCGAAAAGTCTTAAATGCGTTATTTCCTGGCGATTTATAACTAATCATGTAACATGTCGAGACCATTACGCGATGACGATTTCACAATAGACCTTGCGTAAGGAGAGAAGTTTATCGGTATATTTTATGACATATTTCGTGGTGATTCTAATACAAAATTTCACTTCCCACGCATCAACATCATTATTAATCATTTGTGATAAAACTTCGGGGAAGAAGCGTTTATCTCTCTCCAAAATTTTTTTTTTGGTCGTCGAAACAACCTTTCGCCATATATTTCCTTCTGGCGAGTTGCAATGTATGTCCCATGGCGATATCAGAAATCTTTGCGCAAACACAAGGATCCTATTACTGGCAACTCATTCATTAATGATGTATGATCGCGCTGCCTCACCCTGCGAACAGAGAGGTTGTCAATCTTTTCACTGGTTTGTTTTCTTCGGTGAAGCCATAAAGCGTGACACAAACTTCTTCTCTCAAGATCATGAAGCGGTCTTAGGTCTTAGGTCTTAGGTCTCAGTCAAAGTGAGATACTCTGATTGAAAATGGAATCTCGTCAATTTCTCTGCCTAGAGAAAAAGATCAGTTAACGATTGGTGGAGCAAAAACAGAGAGACAAAAAAGAGCAGATAGAAAAATACCCAATAGTTCCTGAGAGATGGAGAATTATCATTTGTATTTGGTTGAAAGAAATTGAAAAAGATTCAAGCGTCAGTGCTTCTTCTTTCTTGTTCAATGGTAAAAAACTTATCAACTTTTCAGCAACTCTTTCAACAGATGCGGAATTCGTATGGGGATATTACACAAAAATAGTTCGAGATCGTTTTCGTGAAGGACTGCTCTCAGGCTGTCATACTCTTTTCAGTTACAATGACACTGTTTTGACAGAAGAATAAATCTAGGCACAGCATGACTTCTTTGCGAGAAGATACAACGATGATATTTGAAAAATCGTCTCACAAACCATCAACACCCGATGGCGTGACAAGAGAATCATTCAAGAGAATCGTTCAGGAGAATCGTTCGAGAGGTCATTTGAGATTATAATATTCACACCCTCTTCAGATCTCACTCGTGAGTTGTGAAGAGGGTGTGAGTATTATTCACCTGTGAATAATTCAAGGTTGACTTGAAATCAAGGTTAAATTCACGAGTTGCCTTTAAAATCAAGGTTGTTTTCAAAAATGCGCCAGAATCCCCGTTTTCTATCTAATAAAGCTCCCTTCCATTGTACAGCATGTATACAAAATGAGATAATTAATTTTAACCAAACCAAACAAAATCTATTTAGTGAGAGAGAAAACGTCTCTAATCAAGCCGGCCAAAGTTGAAGGTCAGTGCTGGTCAACGTTGTTATTTTCTAGCCTGGTAACCTTGTTCCCCACAAATTTTTGTTTTTATTATGTTTCTCAATCTTTATTTTATTTTATTACTATTTTGCTTTCCTTTTTTCAGTATCCGGGATAGACAAAGAAAAAGGTACGTGGAACGCTTGTTGAGAGCACCTTACAACCTCTATCAAATATCGCTTCATTTGAGGGTAACTACATGCGAAATCATGCTTTGATTATTCAAAAAGTGTTCACACTCCCAAGCTTTTATTTCTGGCCCAATATGCTCGATACCCAATTATTAATATTACATGTACGCGGTCAGAGCCATCAACCCCGTTCACCGGATGGTTTCTTTTTCGAGTTTGCGGAAAATTTAGATCTCCTGCATATTCGATCCTTGTCAAAGGTAAGGTCAAATATGTTGTTCAGATTTGATATCAATTTTTGATGAGCATCTTGAACGATATCAAATATTTTACGCTTTTGACTCTGTATTCTATGCTAGTCATGGGCGATTTTAAATGTGGAAAGTGTGTGACATTACTTTTGACGTGGGTCAAAGGTAAAGCCAGATATGGAAGAACTTTGCTGATTCTTGTTAACGTTTATAACAAATGCATAGCAAAGCAGTAGTTTGAATTGCCACGTATTTATTTTTGACTTTGGTCAAAAGTTACGCGAAATTACATTCTATCTCATCTCTGAAATGCGGATGAGATAAATGATTAACAGATAACTGAACAAAGTTGTGCAAAATATCGTGATATTTGTTAGTGGTGAGAAGATCAACTGTTTGTCAAAGCTGAAAGTGGGAGTACATACTGGTTGATCTGCGAAATACCAAAAAATGACGATATTATGCAAAAACCGATAATAACTGACAAAAGATGGGACGCATGGAGAATTCAGTCTCAGTGAGGATGACCTGATATTGGATGAATAACTGCCGGAGCCCCATCTATACGCCTGCCAGTTCATATGAAAGTAAGTAACATCATAACCCTTCTGCTCAATCAAAAACATCAGTAAATACAACCCCTGCTGCTACCAGCAAAATTTGTTTTCAAGTTACACTTCTCATTACTTACTGCCGAATGGTTTTCGTCAGAAAGTAACGACTCAAATGAAAAAAGCATGATAATCTGATGATGGAAACATTTGTCTCTGCCTTGGAATACGGGAAGATAGAATAAATCGTTGGAAATGACGCTTTTGGTCAGGTTATTTTTACAATCGGGTGCTGAACGAAAGAGAGGGTAAGAGTCTACCCCGACCTAAGGTATGTTGGAACAACAACATAAACATTCTTCGTTAATTTACAGTACTTACCCCAGTTCATACGTCAGCACGCGTTCATGGCGATGAGATTAAGTACAAAATCTTACTTTTTCCAGTTTATTACGTATTTATACTTAAACAGGTATCTCAAATTAATTGAATAAAGTGGTATTAAGAGATGTCGTACCAAGCCAGCCTGGTTCAAGCAGACTCACCCAGGTTCCTGCAGAGTACAAGGATCTCAGGGACGCCAACAGAGATCATATTAAAGCGCAAAATGCAGTCCCATGTGCTGAATAGGTGCCTCTACGTCCATTCACACGCTCCTGGAAAGCTTTTAGTGATCACGTGACCATAAGAAAACATTATTAGTAGTGTTGCTTTCCGCCAAGTTATCAAGGGAACTGTAGTGGGACTTCGAGGGAGGCCTGGGACGATTGCAGTAGCTATAAAGATCCAAAAAAGTAAGATCTATTTTATGATTTTCGGACGTTAGGGATGAAATAACGTCAACCGTTTTGTTCTGTTTTGTTCATTCCGATTGAATTAAAGGGTTCACTGTAGGTCTAACTGAAAACCATCCCCTAACCTTAACTTTAAACCCTAACCCTACCCCTAAGCGATGGAACGGAGTACTATTTGAAGTTTTTCTCAGCCATTTGATTTTTCATTGTTACGTTGCCATTTTGCCCATTGCTAACGTTGCTCTTTGCTTTTAACTTCCCAGTCAATGCTGCAGAATCGGACAAATGGGAGGTTTGATGAAAGAACTTGAGACAATGAAGCAGCTGAAGCCATACCCTCACGTCATCAGACTTCTGGGATATGTTGTGGAATCTGGTATGCTCAATTAGGTTGTATGGGTCTCATTGAACTTTGCGACATAAAGCGTATGAGGCTGATTTTATCACAGATGGTCTTCTATTTTGGCTCGTTTTTTTGGGACTTAAAGTCTCTCGTAAGTGATCGGATTATTTGCTTCCCACTTTAGGAGCACTTTGCAGAGTCACTTCTGGTATCTATGGAATATGTTTCATTTGAATGAGTCAGCCGTGTTTTGTCTCAGCTTTCCGTTCGATCATCCACCGAGACCTCGCGGTACGTAAAAAGAAACATGCAAAGTGACAGACTTTGGAATAGCTAGAGACGTCCAACAAGAGAATATCTATGAAAGATAGGTAAAGGCAATCCGATTATTGCCAGTGGCTAAGATTTAAAAAAAAAGTCTTCCTCTTCTGATCTTTTGCAATGAAAGATGACGTATCATTACTTTGAAATTTACCGCCATCAAAAATATGTCTGATTTACTGCCTAATGAAAACGTTTACATCCAGTTTAGCTTCCTAATGAAGGGCTGGGCCTTCTTTCTGTAAAGAGGAAGCTTAAGAGGCGTTGTTGTACGGCACCTGTACCACAAACACTGGCGTGTAAGTGAAATTTTTCATTTCTTTTGGTGACAGTAGATTATTAATTATTTTACAGTTAATAACAATTGCATGGCCAAGTTGTAATTTTGAAGCTTTTCTAAAGAAGATATTGATTTTTATTTCATATATTATTACATTTTAACATATTGGTAATTGATTCTATGGGCCCACTACCATAACCTATTTTTGCTTTGTCAGGTGGAATTATGGAGTTGTCTTTGACGAGATTTTCACCATAGTTAACACCTGATGAAATTTGATTAGACTGTGATAGTGGTTTACTTTAGACTGGAGTACGTTTCTTCTACTATTCTTCAAACTTGTGTTTTAGAATTGACCAAAGGAGTCCATTCGGGTGGAGATAAGAATTTGCATTCTGCTGCAGATGAAGAAGAAGGTACTGAGTTGAGGTTTATATCCTGTTGCACTAAGGTGCACATTAGTTCTTTTTCAGGTGGTTCAACAAATCCACGCTTTGATGACAGGAAAATTGCAAACTTGCTTCAGCAGGGATTCCGAATGCCTAAAACACAGCACATGGATTTGGACTTGTCCCTCTCTTTCCTTTTTTATGCTCATTGAAAGAAATATTATATGCATCTCGCTGTCATAATAGTGCTCATTATATGTGTAGATCGATATTAGCTACCAGATAATGATGAGATGCTGGCAAAATGACCCGGATGCGAGACAAACATTCACTGAATTGAAAAGAGCTTGAAGACATGGGAACCCTGCTCGAGGTAAGACTTGTGATGGACGTGGCAAGTTACCAATTTCCTTTAAATCAACGTTATCTCATTCAGATGTCCTCTTTTCTGTTATATCACCAAGGTTCCACGACCAGCATTGTTAACAAAAATCTCTCTTGGGATTGTTTTTGATGTAATTTTTCACTGATAAGGGTATCAGTATATTTCAGCAATAGCCCTTTAATCTTATTTGATAAGGCGATCGGATGAATGTAAAACTTGGATTCGATTAAGGAATTGTTAACCCTTTGATAATTACACTAAATCCGTGTGTAATTGACCCTGCACGCTGATAGCGCATTCGGTGACTGCTCTTAACGTAAAGGAGGCAAAATAGTCTTAACACTTCTGTTAAAATTTATTTTTCCTCTGCAGAAGCTGATTAGCATAAAAATGTGGGACAAGAATTTGGACGCAAGAGTTGAAGATCTAGTAGAATAGCTGGGTAAACGTACTCAGGCTTTTGAGGGTCAACTGTTTGAACACCTCGCAATCAACATGTCAGCCTAAAATGGTCACTGGGTCGGAGACGCCAGTGTTTATTTAGCGGTTAAGCTAATACTTATAACTGTTCGCAAGAAAGTTGAAACGAAGAAATGAAATGTTACTAATGGTTAAAAAGAGCGTTTTCCAAAAATCACTTGAAAGATCTTGTTTTGAAGACTTAGCGGAAGTTTTGTCTTCAAAATTGCTCTTTGCCTGTTTCTTCTTTTTACAAGTAATGTAACTTGACGTTGGTGCTGACACTCGATCAAATTGGTCTTAAGTTCTCTTCCAAAAAAAATTATGAAAGTGGCTTTTAATGTAAGGTCTGAAAATTTCTGAAACAAATCTGTCTGCATGATGATGCCTCGCAAGGAACGTCTGAAATAATAGCTAGCAATACCATGTGTGTTTATCTTGATTAGGTTTGTAGATCGTAATTTATCTCTGAGGACTGACCTGAGCCAGGCAGCCTCACCTGAAAAGAAAGTAATACAGCTGAATTTATTAAAATGGCTTCTTCTATATTTAAGAGACATTTATGTTTCACAGTTACTACAGAACAACAGATGTAGTCGATAAATTTCATGAAGTCAATGACAAACACGGTGTACCGTCTGGTCAGTATTCTCGTTTTCTCAGTTGCACTTAATAACAATACGGGACAAATGATCCTTCGACGACCCAGGAAGAGTTGGGAAAGGGGGCAAGGAGCTCCTCGCTTTTCAGGAAATATCCACCGAGCATTTTGGAGGAAATTTGTCTCTGGCCAATGCTGCCAATGCTTAAGTAGTTGAAGGGAAAAGTGACTTATTGTCAAGCTTTTTAAAAATACCAAAAAGTCAAACACAAGATATGTGTTATATCACATTGAACAGGTATAACCCTTAAAGATTTTTTCTTATGTTGCTCATCATGAGGTTGTAATGTTCTTCTATTTCCCAAAGAGTGTAGCATTTTATCTATATATCTGCATCTCGTTAAAGAGGTTATTGCTCATTGTGGTGGTAAGTAAAAATAAACTGACTAATCGTTTGCCTCACGATGTAGTCACTTGACATGTATATCTGCATTTATTCATCACTCCTTTACTGACTCATTTTTCTCTCATCCCCGTGGATTCCCTGCTTGAAAATTACAGGTAATTTATTATGTCAAATTCAGTGTCTGCTATGGTTTTCTTATACTCTTTTTACTTTCTGTATCTTACAATCGAGAATGTTTCCCTAGCTATCCAATGTTTTATTTTGATTGCCTTTGTTTTTAACATCGTATCACAAACCATTCTTGGATTGTGTTAACCAGCGGCGTCATTATACAATAACAAAATTTAAATCTCTGTTGAGTTATTCTTAGATTGGAACAGGTCATCAGCCTCCTATTTCATGTCGTTGTTGGCACGCGAGTGGGTCTGTGTTTCGAATAGTCTCTTTGGCAGTTTCACATCATTTTCGAAAACGTATCTCACTCGTGGTCGTCGTCTTCTGAGACGTTCCTTATCTCAGATCGGTATGGTGAGGATCTGACAGCTGCGTGAAGAGACCGGCTCCGTTGAACTAAACATGATAGCGAAAATCGGAAATTGCTTATCAGAATTTCCAGTTTGAGTTCTACCCAAAACCAGCATGATATTATATTGTAAGAGCGACGTATGGCGTATATAAATGCCTTCTTACCTTGCCTTGCATGCATATTCTGTCCAATATATTTCCATTTTCAATTCACGACTTGCCAGTGGGATAAGATAGATTCAGACGGTTGGATCGCTTACGGTGTTGAATTCAAAGAGAGTCATTGTTAATAAATGGTTGCTCATTTTTTTGTTGTTGAGTTATTAAAAAAAAAAACCCTATGTCGGCCAAAGCCCGCCCAAACTACTTACCCTCTTAATTTATTTTAAGTAGAGGTAACTCGCGTGAAAACAAACCTCGATTTTCGGCCTCGAAAGAAATTTACAGTTTTCTTTGCTTTATATAGGCGTGTGTCGATATGAATATGCTGGACTCCTTGGCATGTCTCGTAACAAAGAGGTCGATTGAGATTCGCGGGAAAGGTCATCTCGCGACTTCACCGGAGGAAAGGAATGGGTTCAACGAGGACCAAAAATTTTGTCAGGAAAAGCAAAGAGTAAGATAACACTTTTTCGCCTTAACAAACTTTTCTCCCTTCCATTTCTTTTGCCCAGGCTTCCTCTTCAAAGTTTCGGGAAATGTGACAAATTCACCTCTTTTGGGCAGTGCAATACGCGATGTAAACGAAATATGCAGATCGAGATCCTGAGCGAAAGTCCTAGAAGAAGGTCAAAACTCTGCCGGCCCAGACACCCCCGAATCATTACGCCTTTATTATTTGGTACTAGCAAGAGCCCATTACTCCTGGTACAAGCATCGTAAAACAGTCTTTTAGCCCTACCTCGCCCACTTTTTAATATTTTGGATTTTCTCTTTCGACAAATTAAACTTGGATAATTTTTTTAACTTAAGAGCGGAAAAAACCCAATTATAAAATTTTGATCTGGGGACCAATATCATTGAAGTGATGGTATTATGGGGTCAACAACTGGGTTAAAATCTTAAATTTGTCCCACCAGATGGACGAAAATAAAGCTTATTGTGCCTTTATCTCATCATGATCGATT